CAATGCCACAAAAAAGGGGAGTTATTATTCTGGCAAGGAAGAACCATCAACAGTCAATTTCTATGATGGTCCTTTTGCTTTTTCTGGCGAACAACTCTCCTGTCTCTTGTTTATTTCTTGAAAAACACATCTTGTTCCAATGTAGGGCCCTCTATGGGTATAGAACGGCAATCTTGGCCACCCTTTTTTCTTGGGTTTCTAAAGGTTCATGGAAAGTGTTCTTTTAGTTAACCTGCCTCCATTAACTCCCTATCACTTCCTCTGCCTTAGTTGAAAATTTTGACTTTTCAAAGTCACATGGGCCTTCTTTTTAAAAAAAAGATCTTCTAAAATATATGTTTGATTTGAATTGAGACCAACGGTGATGATCAAATTTCCTGGGCCCTTGGGGATGTTTGAAACTGGGCCTAATCTAAAAATCAATTAGCACTTGACTTGTCCGGATTAAATCACCATTCAATGGTAATTTATTTTTTAGCTTGTGATTTTAATCCTTCCTAATTGGTCTGGCTTTTAAAACCACCTAGGTTGATTCCTGTCTTTTAAAATAAAGCTCAAACCTCCTGCTTTCGTTATGGGCCAATGTCAATTGGACTGTCGTGTGGAATTTAGGCCCAAATACAAGTATTATATTTTGGAATTTTTGTTATAAAAAAAAAATTGCATTAAATGGATGGAGATACTCTCTCTGAGAGAGAGAGACTATGTGCAGAACATGTGACATTTTTGAACAGTTCAAAAGTTCTAAAAAGAAAAATACAAAAATTAATCCACAGAAAGTGACTGTGTGGGTGACATGTTTTGACAGCAAATTGGACAAAACTTTAAAAAAATTGACCATAAGTCCTCAGCTCGTTACTTTCATATAATTACAGTCTTTAATTTACTCAAAACAAATCTCGGTAATAAATCTGTGTAATATCTTACGGATTAAAACGAATGCTTACCCTTAATTGGGACTTAATTGCTAAAATTATAAAACTATAAGATTATAATTATCAAAATTGAAATGACATTGAGGGAATTTTTTATTTGGGCAAAAATGAGGGAAAAAAGCACAAGCATTCTCACACGACCAAATATGGAAGCCTTAGTCTCTTCCTTCACACAAATGGCAACTCTGAGCACCTCCAACAACACTCTCTTAGGAAGAAGCCTTAACATCTTAAAGCATGCAAGCTTTACCAGAAAACTGATGAGCACATAATTATTACATGTAATATCCCTTAAATGATATTTGTTAGTATCTTATTTGTTTAATTTTGGACTAATTGCTTTGATACATGGGTATGTCACATGTGAGGTGTTGTTGTTACAAGGATGGCTTATTCAACTTGGACAATAAACATATCATGGGCATTCACGTGGGTTGGCAACAAGATGATGAAAGGCTACCTTTTGGAGGTTTGCACATGCCAAAGGAATGCAAAGAGAGAGATGGTTGGCCACCAAAGGAAAAGAATAGCAAAGGAAAATTAGGTATTTCCCAGCCAACCAAAAGGAAATATAAAGAATGAGAAAGTGAGAAATAAAAGGAAAGAGATAAGGAAATGGAATCATGATGGCAATAAACAATGGAAGTGGAGCATCAATTGAAGAATTAAAGAAGAAGAAAGCTGCGGGAATGGCATGATGGGATAATAATTTATTCAAGACATATTGCAAGGTTGCAACATGAGCTTCTCCTATAAATAGAGAGATCCTCCATAGCATTCAACACACACCAAGCTCCACAACTCTTGAGCTTTCTCTCCTTCCTCCAATTCTTCTAGTTCTAAATTTCTGTTTTAGTTTTATTTTATGGGGAACTAACTCCCTAGCTAAGGCTAAGGGGAAAGCTTTTAATATGAGTATGTAATTTTTATTAGTTTGATCCAAACTTAAGCTTTAATGTGATTTTGTAATTTTTGTTCAAATGAAATTTGTAGTTTTCTTTTTTAATTAATTGATGAATGTTTGATAATCTATTTCATGAGTTCAATCATGTTTTTCCCATTGTGTAGTAAAAACTTTCATGCTTTTAAAAGAAAAGAGAATTACTTAGATTAATAGAATTTTGATGAAGATTATTTTTTGATAGTTTGTTGCCAATGGTACAAGTTATGCTTAGAATACTTCTAAAGGAATTTAAAAAGAGCTTTAATTATTTTGAACAACTACAATGGAAATTATTTTGTGGATCAAATTAATAAGAGTTGCATGCTTATGTTAAAAGTGGAACCCCAATGCCTTAGTGTTTTAATCAATTAAATTTTCTTTAAATCAAATCTTGCATAAATCTACCACTCAATCAAACTTGTTCTTTTTCATCTCTGCTATTTTCTTTACACTGCTCTCTGTGGATACGACACTCGGACTTCCGAGCTACACTACTATACGATACCTTCCCTTGGGTTTTGCAAAGTGGTACGAACAAAAACCATGCAACCAGAACCAGCATCTAGCTATGAAAAATTCAGCAAAAGAATAGCAAGTTTTCCAGAGTTAATAATTAATTCATGTATGAGTTTTTCCAATTAATCATTTATTTTAGTCAGGTATAATATGGTATTGATGAGTATGCATATATATATATATTAGATAGCACAGAAAAGATGTGAGGTATGTGGAGGGTCAGGGCTTTTTTTTTTTTTTTGATGAGTGGGTTAGGGCTTGTTTTGACCAAAGAAGACTACGTCAAATGTCCTGGATGTGGTATGTGTTCAGATCCTTTGCTTTTTTTTTTTTTGGTCTGAACCACGAGGTGGTCCTGGATGGGCCCCAACTATGGGTGACACCTTTAAGCCTTAACCACAACCCAGATTAATCCCCGCTCACACCGGGTCAGCCCATAAGGGGTAAAGTGTTGGCCAAAGTGATGACTCCATACGAGAGCGGGGATCGAACCCCTGACCTCTCTTAAGGAATGAGAGTGTCGAACCACTCACACCAACCACCTTGGTTGTTCATATCCTTTGCTTTCAAATGGCTGAAAAATATGTTTCCCGTTATTATTTATAATTTTTCTGGATTGGATCTGTTTTTTTTTTTTTTGGTCAAGTTAATTCACGTTCTTCGTAAAAAATTTCCAGGTGGATTTCTCCCCTGGCAATCATGGAAAAGATTCTTTTCTGGCTAAGATAAATTTTTTTTCCTACGCTTAATACATTTTCCATAAGGTTCGAGTGGGGACGTTTTATTCAATGTTATGCTTTAACATAAAATTTGGGTTTTTATTTTATAAGAAAATAACAGTTATACTCATCTGTATCAAGAAAATTAAACATTAAATATGTTGGATACCCACTCCTTGGCTAACTCTCTAGTGTCCTTTTTGGCTGAATTGTGATTACAATCCCAAAATTTCTCAACAAAAAAAACATAAAATCAAGAGTATAATAAGTTGAGTTTGTGAATGGTACTAAGAATATTAATATATGAATCCAGTTAAGATAGACAATTGACTATGGCCATATAAATACAATAAAACAAAGGGTTATTCGTTTTATTAGTCATTGAACCTTAACCCGATTTGCATTTGAGTCCCTCAATTTCCAAAATCGTTCCTGTTGTCCTTCAAATTTAGTTTCGTTAGGACAAATGGTCCTACCATTAGTTTTGTTAACTTTTTCTGTTAAATGCAGGGGTAAAATGGTATTTTTGTATTATTTTTAATTTCCAATTTCAGAATATTTCTTTCACCCAAAAATAAAAAATAAAAAATAAAAAAATCTTATTCCTACCCTCAGTCAAACTAAAAATAAAAAATTAGTTCTTATTCCTAAAAATTAAAAAAAAATCATAATTAAAAAATGAAAAATTTCACCACATGCCCCTTCTTTTTCCTCTTCTTTCTTGGCAACCATGTCCCCAACCCCACCGTCCCACCATGACCACCATTTTTCACAGAAGATTCTCCCACCAAGACCACCATTTTGCTCAGACAACTCTCCCACCACGACCACCACCCAAATCCTCCTCCTCCCCCAGACCCAAGACCACCCCCTTCCCAACTAGGGATGGCAACGGGCCGGTTA